TAAAGCTTGAAACTTAAAAAGTCCTTCACCACGCGTTGACTCATTGTAAATACCTCATAATATTGCTCAGTAAATTATAAATTATCTACTTTTTGATGGGAACGCGAAGTTCAGGGTTCGAAGTTCCGTACAGCTACATGAGCATCTAGAATAATAAGTGAGATGACTCAAAGAGGTTAAATTCATTAACGGCTACTCAGTTTGGATACTAAGGATGTTTATTTATTTCGCCGACGTCGGTAGCTCAGTGGCTAGATGCGAGCCTAGTATTCTGAAAGTTGTGAGTTCGATTCCCGGCTGAATCGAATTTTTCAACAGACACAGATGAGAGGGAGGTCGCTAATAGAGCACCCGCCTGTACCGACATGGTTTTTCCTGTGGTTTCCCATGTCACTCTAATGTTCTATAGGAGAGTCAATACCGTACAGTGTAGGATCCACAGCCGCATGCCTGGAGTGAGATAATGCTAAATAGCCAGAATAGGGCAGAAAGGGCCGGAATATTAAAAGAAAGAATGTTTATTTACTGCAGATATACCTCAGATATAAAAAATTCATGTTATGCAAAGTTGGAAACATGCCCTACCATATTCACATATTACCGTTTACAAAATCCGCTTTGAATTTCCGGAAATCCTTCTAGATATAATGAAGTTGCGCGATTGACAAAAAGCCCGGGTTTTCCTGCCGCTTAGTCCTCGAAAATCGATAATCGATCATTCACGCACTTAGATCCTCCTAATCCGGATCATGTTGAAGTCATTGCGGAATAAGTCATAGGATTATCAGTCTCATAAAACGTGTCTAAGTTTATCGGATACACGACGGTAATTATATGATACCCGCGTAACGTGCGTTTGACAGGCAATTCAGGGATGTAATTGATCCGGGGGGTAATAAAGATAAAATGAGTAAGCGGATAATGATTAATGTGGGGAAATATATTGGTTGTATATTGATACTGACCTTGGGATCGAAATTGAAGACCTGTTCTGGTCTAAGTGGGCACTCCAGACCGCACTTGCAAGTGCCCGCGGTTGTCAGGTACTCCTTCAGCTGATCGAGCGAACCCAGCGCTGTACTGCTTGGACTGCAAAATTAAACAAATTGTTTCATGTTAGAAAATTAATTGACAATAGCCATGAATTTTGTTTCGATCTTGGGTGG